TAGTAGCAGTCTTGGTAATAGCAGCAGCAGCAGCAGCAGCAGCAGCAGTAGTAGTAGTAGTAGTAGTAGTCGTCGTAGTAGTAGTAGTAGTAGTAGTAGTAGTTGTAGTAGTAGTAGTAGTATTACTAGTAGTAGTAGTAGCAGTAGTCGTTGTAGTAGTAGTAGTAGTAGTAGTAGTAGTAGTACTCGTAGTAGTAGTAGTCGTAGTAGTAGTAGTAGTAATAGTAAAAGTAGCAATCGCCATTGTAAAACTATTATTAGTAGTAGTTGTCGTAGAAGAAGAAGACGTCGTAGTTGTCGTCGTACTAGTAGTCGTAGTAATAGTAGTAGTCGTCGGTGTAGTAGTCCCAGTAGTAGTAGTAGTAGTAGTAGCAGTCGTAGTAGTAGTAGTAGTAGTAGTAGTAGTAGAAGTAGTAGAAGTAGTAATAATAGTAGTAGTAGCAGTCGTGGTAATAGCAGCAGCAGCAGCAGCAGTAGTAGTAGTAGTAGTAGTAGTAGTAGTAGTAGTAGTAGTAGTAGTAGTAGTAGTAGTAGTAGTAGTAGTAGTAGTAGTAGTAGTAGTAGTAGTTAGTAGTAGTAGTAGTAGTAGTAGTAGTAGTAGTAGTAGTAGTAGTAGTAGTAGTAGTCGTAGTAGTAGTAGTAGTAGTAGTAGTAGTAGTAGTAGTAGTAGTAGTAGTAGTAGTAGTAGTAGTAGTAGTAGTAGTAGTAGTAGTAGTAGTAGTAGTAGTAGTAGTAGTAGTAGTAGTAGTAGTAGTAGTAGTAGTAGTAGTAGTAGTAGAGTAGTAGTTGTAGTAGGAGTAGTGGTGGTGGTAGTGATGGTAGAAATCGCCTTCCAGTCAATATGCGATGTTCGTTTCATTGCTTCACATCGACCGTCGTTACCATTAGTATTCGCAATGTGTGCCAAGAGGTGGACTGCTGGGCCCCCGTGGAAATCTATTCAGGGCGTCCTGCCGCAAGGATATAATTTTATGTGCTGTGCGCGCTGTTTGGTGCTGGACGCCGTGACGGGGGGCCTGCTGATTGGGATGATGGGGAGGAAGCTGTCGGCGCGCTAAAAGGAAAAATCAGGCGATCTCTCTGAAGGCAGCGGATCTTCCAGGAAGCGCTCCGGCCTTCGCAGAAACCCGCCGCGTCTTCGGCGAAGGCTCAAGAAGCTCCTCACGAGACCAGAGGCCTCCTGAGAATACTGAGAAGGCCCGCCCCCTCTGCCTTCCCTCGGGCGTGCCGCCGAGGAAGGGGATAAGAGCAGGGGAGGGGCGGGCAGGAGAGGGAAGACGACGACGACGACGACGAAAACGAAGACGGCGACGACGACGATGACGACGGCAACGACGGCGGCGACGACGACGACGACGACAGCCCTCAGGTTCGAAGACGTGACCTCCCGCCCGAGTCTCGCGGAGCGCTGGTTTTGGAGCACCGGATTCGGAGACGCTCTCAAGGGGCGGAGAAGTGTCTGGACCCAGCGCTCCCGGAGATTCTCGGGGGCACGCTTCCGAATCGGCGGATGCGCGGAGGGGGGGGGGAAGGAGAGTGGCAGGAAAACAATCGAAATAAGCATGGACTTTCGGAGGTCCGAGCGGATTTCTTGGGCCCGCGCTGGACCCCGCTGTGCTGGCGCGCGGATCGCGACCAGGGGCGGCGTGGTGCGCAAGGGGCTGGACGAGAAACAGCAATCCGCCATCGCGCCAGCAGCAGGGGCAGGTGTGTACTAGGGCAGGTGAGATCCGAAGCTCTGGTGTGCATGTATATTTGGTGGTTCCCACCCATTCTCTGACCGGAGGTGGTGTAGCGAGTTTCCTTCGGGGAGCAGGGGTTACCACTGTTCCTTGTTCATATATACGAAACCTGCCCCACCCGACCAGCGACAAACCCGGGACCATGCCGACCGCCCCCCCCTCACCCTTGTAGCAACAACCATACAACAACATACACGTTGTACTAGAATGTGGATCATGCGCGGACGCCCCGCGATCACTCTGAATTAATTTTTGGCAGGGACGGCGGGGGGCCGTCATATTGCCTGCTGTGGATTGCCAATGCCCCCACCGCACCCTATTGTAAACACAAGAACTATCCTGGCGAAGTACCCAACCACATGAAATTGTGAATGCCGCAACTGTGAATATCGTCTTCGGTGGCGCTCCCTATGGGGCCACAGATCGTGCGAGGGCGTGCCGAATTGAGGTGGGGGGGGCGTATGCGAACACCGCCATGGGGGCCTTCGGTAGAGCTCCCTATGCTGTCACTTCACGTGTGAGGGGCGTGCCGACACTTTTGTGGCGGGGCCGCATGCGGGCTGCGCCTCTGGAACCTTCAGTGGAGCTCCCTATGGGGCCACGACGCGTGTGAGGGTGTGCCGAAATGGGTGGCGGGGACGCATGCGGGCTGCGTCACTGGGACCTTCGGTGGAACTGCCTATGAGGCCACGAAACGTGTGAGAGCCACACACGCAAGGAGATGTTGTGAACGATGATGAGGGCGATCACGGTGATGATGACGATGAAGATGATGACGATGCTGATGACGATGATGATGATGATGATGATGATGATGATGATGATGATGATAATGATGATGATGATGATGATGATGATGATGATGATGCTGATGCTGATGCTGATGCTGATGCTGATGCTGATGATGCTGATGATGCTGTTGATGCTGATGACAATGATGATGGCGATGGTGATGATGACGGTGATGATAATGACGATGATGGTGATAATGTCGGCGATGATGCTGATGATGACGACGATGAAGATGATGAGGGCGATGATGAAGATTATGACTGGAGAAAGGCGGAGGGGGAGGAGGAGTGAGGAGTGAACGCGGGGCGCTCTCTTCAGAACGAGAACCCAACACCATAGAAGGGTTAGGGGTTAGGATAATTAACATGCCCTTTGCACTCGAATCTGGATCATGCACGGACGCCCCGCGATCACTCTGCACTGGTTTTTGACATCCGCGGCGGGGGAGGCAGCATATTGCCTGCTGTGTGCAATGCCGAAACCCCCTAATCACCCTCTGCAAGCATACAACATCTGGATCATGCTCGGACGCCCTGCGCTCACCTAGCAACGATGTTTGCCAAGGATGGCGGACGGGCTGGCTTCTTGCCCGCTATGTGCAGGCCTACCATCCCTTTCAGCAGACAATCGCAACGTTCATTTTGCCAGTGACGGCAGGGTGGGGGCGGCATATGCCTGTTGCGCACAGGCCCTCTACCCCTGTCAAGAAACCACACCCGCACACAACACACGGTGCTCGCAAACCCGCCGTCCCTTTGCATTGGTTGTTGACAGGGACGGTGGGGCAGCCGACGTGGTGCCCAATGTGGCGCACCTGGTGCGAGTGGCGCAGCCGGCATGTGCGGCGCACCTCGCGGGCATCGCGCGCCTGGCTGGCGTCTGCATTACTTCCCGATGGTTGTCGAAGGCCGGCCCTGCCGGCGCTCGGGCTCGGGTGCTACTTATGTGGTGGGAGGGCGAGTGGGCGTGAGCGACGCGTCTTGCGGCTTAGGGTAGCACGACTCCTCTACATACGCCCTCCCCTGGATCTTGAGCGGGGGGAGGACGCAGGGTGTCAGAGGGTCTTCGTTTGCCCAAGGTGGCTCCAAGATGGCCTCAGGGGAAGCCCAAGATGGCCTCGAAGTCGGCCCAAGATGGCTTCTACAGTCAGCTCTACCATGTTCAAAGAGGCTCCAAGACCGCCCCAATACGGCTCCAAGTGGCCAAGCAGCCTCCCACGGAAGCCTCCAAGATGCCGACATCCTTTGGACACCTGAGGAAACTCAATGTGAGTGTGTGTTCCGTCTCGCCTTTTCGTCTTCGCCAAGAAGGCCGCAAGGGGAGCCCAAGAGGGTCCCAACGCGGCCCCAATTGCGCCCAAGGGCGCTCCAAGAACGCTTCAAGAGGCGATTCTAGGGGAGACGCCCAGAAGGCCTCAGGAGGCGGCCCCCAATAGGTTCCAAACATGCTCAACAAACCCAAGAGGCCCCAAGAGGCTCCCCCGAGGCACCCAAGACGCTCCAAGAGGCCCCTGTGAGCGCCAAGAGGCCCTAAAGACGCCCCGAGACCACTCCAAACCGTCACTTACGATACATCGTAATCGACTCCGAGAGAAATCCAAGAGGCCACTGGCCTTTCTGCTTACCCCCTTCCTTATCATCCTCGTCCTTAGCCAGCTATGCCTCCTCCTCTTTCCTCCATCCTCCTCCCTCCTCCTCCTCCTCCTCCTTCCTCCTCCCTCCTCCTCCTCCTCCCTCCTCCTCCTCCTCCTCCTCCTCCTCTCCTCCTCTCCTCTCCTCTCCTCCTCCTCCTCCTCCTCCTCCTCCTCCTCCTCCCTCCTCCTCCCTCCTCCTCCATCCTCTCTCTCTTGGGGTACGCATGCTCCTCCATATCTCTGATCAGGACAACCTGCCGGGGCATCGTTTCTGGTTGGACTGGTCGGGTTACGCCCAGAAGCGTTTAGAATATCGATTGTTTGACCGTCGCCATACGAATCGTGCAGTATAGTCTGCACCGAATGATTTTGCACAACGTGAGCTGCATGCCGCAGCTTGCAAACCACTCTGAATTTTGACCAGCAGATGCTGCATAGCATCGCTTGCAACACAGATCTTCCATCACGTAAATTGTCCCACTTAGATTGCATGCCAAATGCTGCGCTACACGGCCCAAACCTAGATAATGCAATAGCGCAATGTTCGTGTCCACGCTGGCATACACAGCAACTTGTATTTGTGTACTCGAACCACGCGCGTACGCTTCGCGGGCATCGGACTCCTCGAGAAATTCAGGTGAATAGAGAGAGAGAGAGAGAACATAAGAGTGGTGTTCGACAGAACGGGTACTGGCAACAGGGGCGGATGGAGGAACTGAGCAGATGGAAGAAAGGATGGAGATGGGAGCAAGCCCGGGAGAGGGGGGGGGGGCAAGCAGCAGGCGGCGGAGGGCGAGGACCGAGGAGGGGCAAGGGCCCCCAGGGCGGGGCACGTGCGTCGCGTGGAAGACGCCGACGCTGAGGCCCCCCATCCTGAAATCGATGCGCTCGCCCTCCTGCAGCTCCATGGCGATGGCCTGCCATGGTGGCCCGGGGGGAGGGGGGGCGAGGCCCCCGCGGACGCGGAGGCGGCACAGCCAGCGCTGGCGTCCCCGGCGAAGACGATCGTCTGGCGTACGCTGCTCCACAGTTCGTAATGCCAAGGGAGGGGGCCACAGCCCTCCCAGAAGAGCCGTTTTAGACCCCCCCAGAACCAGCCATGAGAGGGCCGCCTTCTGCCCAGGCCCCTCAGAACTCTCCACGACAGCTGAAATCATCCCCCCCAAATCAGACCACCCCCCTCTTGTTGCGAACTCTGGAGCACATAAAGTCGGAATCCGCGGACCTGGTGCGTGGGCACCGGATCCACGGATCGGGGAGCGGAGCTCCAGGAGCGTGAGGCCGATGCCGCCTCGCTGGCCACGGAGCGCGCCGAGTCCGCACGGCATTTGGGCCCGCCGCTGGACCACGCGCCTCGACCCGTGTTTGCGCTTGTTCGAGGCTGGGCGACGACGACCGCCGGCGAAGACGACCCGCACCCCCAGAGGAGGACAACGGGGGGAGGTGGGGGAGGAGGAGGCGCCATGGGGCTCTCCGAAGACTTCGGGCCAGGAGCCAGAGGAGGGACTAAGAGTGTCTAGAAAGCCTGGATCCTCCCCTCCCCCTCCGTACAGGAGGGCCCAGGGCTCCGACGTCTAAGAAAAAAGCAAGTGGACCCCCAAAGTTACCAGGGGACCAGTTTCTCGCCTCGGATCTTGTTGTTGACTGTCTTGGGGCCTGGTGAAGGCACCCGGAGGCCGAAAAAATTGCCCTTGGAATTTGTTCACGGCGCGAGGGGGTCTGGGGATACAGGACAGGACAGGAAACGCTCGGCTCCTTCAACCGACTGCTGCACGACTCGAAAACGCAGTGGACCACAGGCGGAAAGGCCTCCATCGTTAGAGACACGTAGCACGCGAGGGGGTCTGGGGAGGAGGGAGACGGCGACGAGGAGGACAGGGAGCAGCAGCAGCAACGGTCCTGGGAAAGCCCACAGGGGCCGTGCCGTTGTGATTCCTCGGCGACGCGACGGGGCCTTGGAAGAACACATCGGGCGTCGCAGAACGGTGCGGTGACAGACCGCGTGCCCACATCGGACTCCCCGATGGGTTCGCCGCACGATCCGTCACCGCACCGTTGTGCAACCTCAGAGACCCAATCGCCTGAGACATCCTGGGAGAACGACCCAAGTTTCCAAACTGTCAGCTGCATAAAGTAGGCATAGTCGGAGTCTCGCGAGGACTTCTCGGATCGCCGCTGGGCCCCTCCCCCCTGGCGCGCGCGGAGCGCGCTGGAGACGGCGCGCCCGAAGCGCCGTCGGGGGGCCCCAGCGCCGATCCAAGAACTCCGCGCTGACCTCAACGACGCCATGTTTTTGCAATTTTCGGATTTCCCCCCAACAAAAAAATCAGGACGTAAGTGTTTCATTGTTTTCGGCGTGTGGGAACCGCACGCGGGCTCCAAGACCGTCGTCGAAACGATCCGTGACGAAACGCCTGCCCCCGAGAGGCTGCCGAGCAGCGAAAAGACCAGGACGCTGGAGGTCTGGGGGTACAGAGAGAGTCGGGCAATCCAGAGGCCCGTGATTCGCTGGGGAGCATAAGGGGGGGATACCCGTTGCACTCCGAGCCTCCCAGGGGCCTCTCAATCCCACAAGATCCCACCCAAGCTGCACGAACCTACACACAGCCAATGCTCGAGGAGTCTCCCGCGGGCTCTGATCTTTCCCGCTGCCTAGGCCTCCGATGCTGACTCGCAACTGGACAAGCCCTGCATGCACAATGCGATGGCCGAACCACCAACGCGATTGCAAGAGTAGGTGCTACAATCTACATCATGGCGCGAAGATGTAGCTGCGAGGATGGGAAAGTGCAAGCACACCAAACGCAGGAGCAGTCAACATCGAATTGGGACACGGGATCGGATCGGAAAGTGCATCGGATCAATCGAAGCCGAATCGGATCGGCTGCGCCACGATGCACAACTGCGCCTTGCAAACATCGGGCAACATCGGATCTTCGGAATGTCGGATTTGAACAGGCTGGCCAGAAGCATCGCATATCGGAAGCACCGAGGTGGCCGAAAACGAAATCACATCGGATCGATCGGATAGAAACAGCCCCTGGAGCATGGGAGCGTGCAACCCCGCCAACCGCCGCTCGCGTCCTTGCACTGCTTGTACCGCATCGGCTCTTCGGTCAGCTTGGCCTGTGGCAAGCTCCCCCTCACACCCCTTGAGGTAGGGGAGAGAACAGTGACCGGGAGGAGGAACGAACCACGATGCCACATTCGATTAATCGATCTGATTTCACATGCGCGCCGGCATGGCGCTACCGTGTGCAGAATTCAAGCTCACACGCTCCCCCCCGAGCTCAGGCCGCGTCGGCAGCGATCCGCGGTCGCTGACGGGGAGAGAGATGGGTCGAGAGAAGATCACCGCAAGAAGGTCGAGCTGGCTCCGAACATCCTGAGCCGAGCTCCTTATGCCAGCGCCTGCCGCCTAGCCCCCTCCCGCGATCAGAAGGGGAGGAGGAGGAGCAGCTGCTACGGAGGGGAGGGGAATATATCAAGGATATGGAGAAGCATGGCGAACGGAAGGTGATGATAATGGTGATGCGGGGGGAAGGGCAATGAGACTGAGGAGGGAGAGCGCAGTGGCAACGGCACACACAATCATCTCATACATGTTCGCTGCTGCGTGCTCGCTTGCCGCTGCATGCGTGCCTCGATCCCTGCCCTCTCCGTCCACGATCCTCACATCGGCACTCCCTGGCAGACACTTCAGGCTAGCCTTCAACGTGGGCCTTCTTTGCTGTGTGAACTTTCCGGACAGGAGGGAGGGGCATCCCCCCGCGACAGAGCTGCGCTGGGCCGGCGCGGGCTGCCGAATTTGCTCCCAGTGGCTGGGCGCGGGACGGGCGGAACATAGTGGGAAGCGCCTCCGCCATCGTTGCAGTGGACACATTCAATCAGACATCCTTCAGTACAACAATTATAGAAAGGGGCCCAAGGACACACAACTAGATACACACAAATACAAGGATATTCCCCATATGTTTCAATATTTTCTGGATTGTCGTCCTCCCCCCCACTTCCCATACTTTCCCATACTTTCCTGGGAATCGGTGACTAATTGTGTCTTTGTGTTTTTTCCTCTCCTGAATTCCCCAGGACTGGTTTTTCGTCCGGAGTCGTCTTCTGCGGCCACGAGGCCTGGTGATAGGCTCCCAGAGGCCGGAAGTGGGGATAAGCCTCCCGTCGTGATTTTTTGGCGATTCGAGGGCGTCTGTGTCGATCGGGCGCAGAGGGCGCAGAGGGCGCCTTGTTGTTGACGGTGTAGACGCTGAGGGGCCTGCTCTCCTCGGGCGCGCCGGAGAGCAGGCGAAGCAGCAGGAGGGGAGGGCCCTTTGGCCACGGAGGCCCCTCCAGCGGAGGGGCGCACGCAGAGAGCGCCGCCCCTGCCGCCACTCCCGGCACCCCTCCCCTCCAGCCTCCTCTGCCTTCACCCCTCCCGCCCCTCCTCCTCCCCGCCCCCTCGGCCCTCTGCCACCCTCCCTCGTCCCCCCTCCGTGCCAGCCTTGTTCCTGAACGCACACACGCACGCACGCACGCAAGTGCGCACTCAAGCAACCACTCACACACACACACACACACGTCCACACACAGAGGCACACACACACAGGCACACATAAACACACACACACACACACATACCTGCACTCCTACGCACATACCACACACACGCACACCTACGCCAATCTACACATCAGTACACACAGCACATAGCACAACATACACATATCACACAACATAACCATACGCACACGCACGCACGCGCACACACACTCACACACACACGCAAAACACACAAGCACACAGACGCACACATACATAAACACACACAGACATACACGCGCACTCGAAAACCACATCCACAAAAATTAACACACACACACACACACGCAGACACGCACAGACATCACACATGTACACGCAAACACACAAACACAACGTCACAGACGCACACACACACACACAAAATCCACACGCAACACATACTCATATGTTTTACTGCCCCGCCTGTTGGTCCAAATCAGCGGAACAAACAGGGCGCAACACACACACCTACACACACGTACATACACCTGCGAACACCTACACACAACCACGCACAGTTGCGCAGACTCACAATGAACACAACACACCACACACAGCTCAACACACACAAGCAACACACACACAACATACAACCACACACAGAGACAGACACACGCACGCAAGCACACACACACACACGCGAGCACACACACACACCAGCACAAAAACGCACACACACACACATCAGCACACACAGATAAAACACACACACGCACACCCAAAGCACACACACACGCGCACACATAACACACATGCACATGCAAGCACACAAGCATACACGCAGCACGAACCAACACACACACACAAACATACGTTTTACTTTCTGGCCGGATGGTCTAACTCAGCGAGAGAAATAGCGGGGCGCAACACAGTCATACACACCTATGGTCACCTACACACGCCTACGCACACCTACACACAAGCACACACACACGCACCTACGCACACCTACACACAACAAACAACACAAACCACAATACACACAAACACACTCAAGACACACAACACGGACACGCACAAGCATACACACACACGCACGCACGAACATACACACGCGCACCAACACACAATCACATCCACGCACACACAGACGCACACACACAAAGACACACACGCACATTCACATCAAATCATGTACGTTCACACAACGACGCACACACAAGCACATAACAACCACATGCGCACGCAGGCACATACAGACGACTTCACAAACCTACACGTAACACGCACCAACACACATACACGCACACACACGCACACACGATTTACGCACACACACACACACGCACACACACACACACTCATATGGCACAAGTTGCGCAATTCAGCTAAGAGAATAGCGGGGCGAAACACACGCACACACTGATACTTACCCACAAACACGCACACACACACACCTACGCACAACTACACACAAGCACACACACACACACCTACGCACACCTATACACAAAACACAACACACAGCACACACGCCACAACACGCATACAACACACACAAGCACACACAAGCACACACAAAACACACACACACACAACACGCACACACACAAGCCCCACATGCGCACACACACACGCACGCAACACCACACAAGCACAAACACGCACACAGAAGCACACACACACAAAGGCACATACGAACACCCAAAACAAAACACAAGCAGAAGCTCGCATACTTAAGCACACGCATAAAGGCACATACGAACACTCAACATGGAACACACACACACAAACACTCACACAAGCACGCATACACGCGCACATACCACAGACATGAACACGCAACCACACACGCAGCTTTACAAACACACACGCAGCACAAACCAACACACGCACACACCCAGACGTTTTGCTTCCTGGCGGCTTGGCCAAACATAGTGATGGCAAAAGCGGAGCGCAACACACACACACACACACACCCACACCTACGAATACGTACACACACCTACGCACACCTACACACAAGCACACACACACACACCTACTCACACCTACACACAACGCACACCACACAACACACAACACACACGAAACACAAACAACACACCATACACAACACACACCACACACACATGCACGCACGCACGCACGCACACACACACATACGCAACATCACGCAATCACAGCCACGCACTCTCTCTCTCTCACACACACGTAAGAACGCACGTAACAAGAGGCACACACGCTCACTGAAAACAACACACAAACAATCACACAAGCACGCGCACACATCACATACAACTCACATGCGCACGCAAACACACAAAAGAACACAACCACAAACACACATGCTACGCACGCCAAGTCGCACACACACATGCGCGTTACTTCCCGGCCTGTTCGTCCAATCCAGCGAAGAGGATAGCGGGGCGCAACAAACACGCACACCTACGCACACACCCGAACATATACACACACACACGCACACATACACCTGCACGGCACGCATACCTACGCACACCTACACACCTAGGCACACCTACACACACCGATGCACACCTACACACAATACACAGTTCATAACACACAACACACATAACACAAACAACTCACACAACACACAGACACGCACGCAAGCACGCATGCACGCACGCACGCACACACATGCACACACACACACACGCAAACACACACACACACAAAAGCCCACGCACGCACACACACACACACACGCACACATAAAAAACACGCACACTCAAAACGCCACACGTAATCATTCACACACACACACACGCACAAACACGCGCGCATACAACACATGCACATGTAAGCACACAAACACACAACTTCACAATCACAAGCGCCACACACACAAATACGTGTTACTTCCTGGCCAGCTGGTCCAAATTAGCGAAGAGAATCGCGGGGCGCAACACACTCACACACACACCTACGCATAGTTAGACACACCTACACCCAAAACCTACGCACACCTACGCACATCACATAACACACAGCACACTATACACACTGCATACACCCAACAAACACGAACAGGGCACACAAACACACACTCACGCATGACCGCACGCACGCATACACACAAGCACGCAACACACACACACAAACACGCACACATAAATAGACACACACACACACACCTAAGACACACACGCGTACTCAAAATAACACACACGCGCGCACACACACACACACTCTCCAACACTGACACAAACACGCACACACACTCACACGCACACACACACACACTCAACACACATGCACACGCAAACACACAAACAGACACATTCATAAACAGACGCACAACACACACCAACACACACATTCGTTTTACTTCCCGACGGTTTGGTCCAACTCAGCGAAGCTAACAGCGGGGCGCGCTGAAGGCAATTAGCACCGACTATTGTCGATGGGGGGTAGCCGGCCAAGGCCACAAGTGCAGAATAGAGACCGACACAGAAGCACGCGCGCATCAACACACACGCGCGCATACATACACGCATGCACGCACGCACACACACGACCAGCCGAACTCCGAGGGTAAGAGGGCGAAGCTGCGCCGGCGAAGCCTGTGCTTCTCGCACGGGGGGCGGCTGTGGCCTGACGAGGGCAAAGGGGCAACGCCGCATGCGCTGGGGATGGGCCGGGGATGCGCAGAGCGGCTCTGAGGTGGGACGGCGCGGTGACGGTCGGGGCGTTGTCCGCCGCCCACCGCCTCCCTCCAAGAACGGGATGATCAGCCGACGTCGCCTAAGGGAACGGATGAAGACCTTCTAACCGACCTCAGCCCTGATTACCAGAGAGAATTCGAGCTCCAAGGACGTATCGAAACTGGAGCGTTTTCACGTGGGGGGCCCCGGGAGGCGGTACTCGTTCGACACTTGGCCGCCGAGTCGGGCAGACACTGTTCCGATACTCTCCGTGTGCTCGAGCTTCTGCTTGTGGTATGTGGTCCTTGAAGTACAGGGCAGTTTTAAATACATAGGATGGTTCAAACATTGTTTTTTTTGTTCAAAAAAAAGATCAATTTATGGGTAAATTTATGCATGAACTCATCGTTGTCTTTAATATAAAACCCCTGCATGTTTAATACATGATCCGCGCGCGGAGCATGTATAACAAAAACGGCACTATACGATGGGAACAATAACAAGAAAGGAGGCCCTAAATGAAACGAGAGCTACGCCCGGGGCTCCCCCAGGACAAGGTCTTCGGCACGTGCCCTTCTTTGGGGGCGGCGGACCGAGGACGAATCGCGGGGAGTAGATTGGAATCCAGGACTCCAAAAATACATACTTTCAACGACCGATGGGTACGTTGAAAGCTCTGGGAGGCCAAATTAAGCCTGCTTGCGTCAGGCGGGCGTGTGGGGTCCCTGGGCGCGCGTAAGAAGTGCACGCTGGCATGCACTCAAGCATGCCTAAACGAGTTTGGAGTGGTCGTCTTGGGTATGGCCGTCTGTGGTATGGTCGCTGTGGGTATGCCTACGCGAGGTCAGAGTGGTGGTCTCTAGAAAAGAATCAAAAGGAACCAACGGCAAAGGGCACAAGGCACCGGCACCGCTCTCTGTTTGTCTCTCTCGTCCCTCCCCCGAGCTGCATCCGCGCGCACCCGCGAGCCGACCAGGGCGGCTCCGCGTACCCGTTGCAGATGGTCAGGTTGTGAACGCCGTCGCTCACCTGGCCCCGGTTCTGTTGCATCTTTAGGGGGCCCCGCTTGTACCATGCCACCATGTCCGCGTCGAACTCGTGTCAAACCCGCGTCAAGTCCCAGTCGAATCCGCATCGGAGACAAGGAACATCTGCCATGCACACGAGTGGCATAAGCCCACAAAAGATGCAGCGCAACAGACTGCAACCGTGGGCCCCAGCACGACTTAACGTATTCTTCGTTGCCCCCGGGTCGAATCTGCATACAAAGCGGTGCGGTAGCAGACCGCGCGGGGACCTTGAAATCCCGAAGAACCTCACCGCGCGGACCGCCACCGGACGGTCCTGAGATCCTGGAGGCCCCAGTCGCCCGACACGTCCTCGGAGAACGGCCCGAGCCCCGAAAGTGTGCGGCGACCCCAAAGTCCCCACCGACTCACCACACGGTGTGGTCGCCGCGCCGTCTGGAGGCCCCCGAGGCAGTTTTGAAGGGGGAACGTAAAGGGGGGCACCGGCTCAGACCTGGATTCGGCGGCGCATCGCCCATGGCTCGGCGCTCGGCCCCCGATAGCAAAACCGCACGATCGTGGGCGGGGGGGGCTGCCGGGCCCCGAACCGGCGATCTCGGGGCGATTGGGGGCCAACGCATCCCCCCCCCTGAGCCTACTCTGGATGGACAATCGTCGCCCCCCTCCCCCCCCCTGGATCCGCGGGGGGGGGGGGTGGGAACGTGCTGTCGGCACGGGTGGAGGGGGCCTGGGAGGTCCTCCGCCTCCTCCTCCTCCTCCTCCTCCTCCTCCTCCAAGAGGAAGAGGAGGGGAAGATCCTCCATCGATCGCAGACCGATCGAGGCCCTCGAGGGGTCGGCCCGTGGAGGAGCGGTCGAGGTCCCGGCTCGAGCGTCGACGAGCGATCCTCCGCTGCGGCTCGGTCGATCGAGAGCTCGGCGGCGGCGGCGGCGGCGGCGGCGATCTCGGGCCGCGCCTGCAGGCCCGCTGCGGCGGGGGCGACCGCCAGCAGGGCCAGGGCCTTATTATAACGTTTGGGCTCGGAGGCGCGCGGTCGGCCGGGGACTGGAGGAGCGGCTTGCTGCTGCCTCCTCCTCCTCCTCCTCCTCCTCCTCCTCCTCATTCTCCTTCTTTATCCTCCAACCCCGGCTGCTGCCTCCTCCTCCTCCTCCGCCTCCTCATCCTCCGCCTCCTGCTCCTCTCGGCCTCCTCCCCGTCAGATCCTGGCGCTGCATTTTTCTCACAGCGGGCCTTTGCGCTCACATTTCGGGCCCAGGGGCCCTCGCAGCTCGATGCGGCTCGAGAAGTGGCGCAGAAGGATGGGGTCCAGCGCTCTGGTCGTGATTTGTGTGGTGCTGCATTGTTTTACCATGTCGGATGTCAAGGTCCTCCTCCTCCTCCGCCTTCTCCTCTCCCGCCATCTCCACCCCCTTCTCCGCGGAGGGGCAACGCAAGACCTCCTCCTCCTCCTCCTCCTCCTCCGAACCCTCTTGGCCATGCCAGAGGCTCACGGCTGCCGTATCACCTCCTCTTGACGTTGGGCAAACTTAGACCGACTGGGATCGTAGCGTCGGGATGGTGTAACGAAAAGCGGCATGGCAATGCAACTGGCTCAAGCGCAGCATCCAAGATATTCAAGCGCAAACAAGTTTGGACAGACACATGGGCAGAAAGGAATGGAAACACGCGAGTAGCCCGCATGGGCATAGAGTAACTGCGCAATCCGCCTGTAAAGGAGAATGGGGAACCACGACCATACTCATAACCACAACCTAGCCTCCTCCTGCTCCTCTTGGCCGTGCGAGGGGCTGGCGGCTGCCGCCTCGCCTCCTGATGCAAATTCTGCTGCACGACAGTTTCGTCTTGTCACCGACTCGTGCGGCAACATCGATCGTCGAAACACTTGGGTGCGGTTGGGTTGAGGCCGCTAACCGTGTCATCAACGTGTCTTGTGAGATTGATGGTTGGCCCGTTCGCACCAGGGCGCTGGAACCCGCAAAGTATTGGTGGCACAAACGCGAAGCCATCGACTTCGGCAGCGCCTCTCGGGTGCGCCGAGGGCGCTCTCAAAGGTCAAAGGGTCTGCGGTGGAGCGAGGCTGGGAAGCCCAGCTCCTGTCGAGGCGCTTCTTTGCTGCCTACTTTGACCCACGTTGCGCCACCATCCTGTAACCCCCTCCGTCTTCTCCTCTACCTGTGAGCTGTGCGCTGATGGCGATAGAGTCGTTCTGACGCCGCCCTCCGCCCTCCCCCCTCAGGGCCGGTCGGCCCTGGGGGGTGAGCATCGGCGGCGAACGAGGGGGGCAGTGAGAAGGAGAAGGCCTTCTCGGATGGCGGCGGAACTTCTTAGAAACCCTCGCGCCTTCTGAACGTTTTTGTTTGCGTCTTCGGGGGAGGGCTGAGAATCTTCTCGGAAGGATGGGGGCCTTCCGAGCCTTCTGAGAAGGCCCGCCGCTTCTCGCTTCCTCCCGACGCTCGCCGCCGAGATCGAACTAGAGCCAGTTCGACTCCTGGAGCACCGCTCCAAATGTGATTGGAGGTGGCTCCTCCGCCCTCCTCGCCGCCGTCTGTTTGGACGCCCGAAATGGGCACAGAAAGAATGGGTACAATGCCCAACAGCAAACTTTGTCCCAAACCAACAGCGGCCGCTGTTGGGCAGGCGGCCTCCTGTCGCGAATGGACACCCGCCGCGGCGACACCGACAGCGAGCCCTCTCCAGAATGAACAGGAACTGCTGTTGGGCATTGTACCCCTTCTTTCCGTGCCCATTTCGGGCGTCCAGAGTCTGGGGGGGGCGGGCTTCGGCACGGTCGGTCGGCCGGGCGGGGCGGAGCCAGCGGCCGCCTGGATCGGAGGGGGGCCGGGTGCTCGAGGAGCGGGGGATGGACGGATCGACGAGGACGGATGGGTCGAGGGCAGAGGATCGAGGAGGATTGGCGATGGATGGCTCGTGGATCCAGGAGGGTAGACGAGGAGGAGGGGGAGGAGAAGCGAGGAGGAGTGAGGGGGGAGGAGGGATGAGGAGGAGGAGGAGGAGAAGGAGGAGGAGGAAGACGAGGAGGAGGAGGAGGAGGAGGAGGAGGAGCGAGTAGGAGGACGAGGAGGAGGAGGATGACGATGTTGAGGAGGAGGAGGAGGAGGAGGAGGAGGAGGAGCATGGGAAGAGTGGAGTGGCGCGGACGCCTGAACGATGCCATATTGTGACAAAGCAAGTGCCCTCACGCCGTAGAACGTCGAGACGATTGGGAAGAACACTCACACGCATAATAATAAAGACTCCACGAAACACCAAAGCTGCGCCACACCACCTCCATACATAAAGTAGTTGTGGTATATGACGGCTCTACTGAAACAAGCGCACGTAGGCAACACAAGACCCTGGATACCGCAACCAAGTGTGAGATTGTGATGAAGCGCGGCCCCACCACTTGAAAGCGACACTTGACAAACTACTTAGGAGCATAAGTTCACTTTATTGGAGCGCGGGCGCACTTCTGTCCCCCGGCAAAGTTTCCGCACGTGCGGGCCACCGCTTGAGGGAGACAAGGGAATAGCAGGAGAGGGAGGAGGAGGTGACATTGAAGCTCCAGGTTCGAGGACGCTGTTGGTCTTTGTTGGGCCTCGCATGGCCTCCTGGGTGGGGCAGCCAGGGACTTCCGAAGACTTCAGGACGCCGCCAGGGACCTCAAACGACCCACACCTCCTACGCCTCTGAAGCCACAGGTGATCGGGAGGGAAGAAGGACAGGAAAGGGATGCCAGGAGAGAGGAGAGAGCTCTGGAGTGGGCCCCTCCCGCTCTCGCCCTGGCCCTCCCCTCTCCGCTCGCCCCTCTCCCCATCCCCTCTCCACTCCTTCTCTCAGCTCCCCTCCCCTCTCCCCTCCCCTCTCCCCTCCGCTCTCCCCTCTCCCCCTCCCCTCTCCGCTCTCCCCTCTCCCCCTCCCCTCTTCCCTCCTTCTCTTGGCGGGCGAAGAACGGTTGTAGAGTAAACTCTTCGGCCGTCGGGGACGCCTGCCCCGGGGCGGCTGGAAGGTTTACGCACCGGCGGGATACAAACTTCCCAGCCGCTCTGAGGTAGGCGCCCCCGACGGCGGGAAAATGCGTGTTATGCCGTTATTCGTCCCCTAACTCTCTCTGCTCTCCTCTCGTCTCTATTTTTCCCGACAGCGGCGGTTACCGGCCCCAGCCGCCCCATCCTGCCCCCTCCGCCCCCAGGCAACGTCACGATCCCTGCTGGCGTCCGAGTCGCCTCTGGCTGCACGCTGGTCGGAAGAAGTGCACAGCCAGCTCGTAGGAGGAGGCCGCCGACGGTGAGGGTGCAGAGGCCTTGGAGGGCCCGCCTCTTGCTCTTCGGGCTGTGCCGGGCACGCTCTGGTGAGCAGTGGGTCTCTCGGCGTGGATGGGGACGAGGCGCGCGCGCTGCGCAAATGCTTCTGCTGCGGGGGCAGGCTGACTACCTACCAGACCACCCCCAACCCAACCCGAAGACCCGAACTTGACCAGAATTTCGGTTGGGGGGGGGGGACGGGTTCCATGTTTTTTTCAATGTTCCCTTACCCCCCTGGAAATGGAGGGCAAATTGAAGCCTTCGGGTTGGGTTGGGGTGGCTTCGTAGTTGGGGGCAGGCTGCCGCAGCACGCCCCGCGACGCTGCCACGGCGGCGAGCGGCAACCCCCGCGCTCGCAACGGCTGGCGGGGCCGCAGCAGGCCTGGCCGCCGGCGGGCACCTCCTCCGCGTCTGCCCCAAGGGGAGGAATGCGCTGGGGCGAGGTGCAGCCCGCACAAGAAGGACGCGCGATGAGGATGCCAGGGCCCTGGAAGACCGTCACTCTCTCTCTCTCTCTCTCTTTTTTCTCTCTCTCTCTCTCTGGGGGGAACGCGCTGGGGAGACATGCACGTCGTTCGTTTCTAATCGTGCTCACTTCTGCCTGTGCTCGTCTCTAACTTGTTCCTGGCCCCCTAGTGGCCAGGAAGAGGCCCAGGATAGAACGATTAGAAATGAAAGGATCTTGGCCCCCCAACAAAATCAAAGAACCTTCGAAGGATTAGACATGAACAATGTGTACAGCCAGCCCGTACAATAACCTGCGATAAAGATGCAAAGGGCTTGGAAGGCCGTGCCGACACTCTGCGAGCGGGGCGCGGCCAGCGAAGGCGGCCAAGGCTGGGCCGAAGGGGAAGGATGCAAGGGGAACCTCAGAAAGTCGCTCATCCTTACTATGCGGACTGACTGTAGGTAGATTCATGGAGTAGGAAGGCGGATCAAGTAGATTGGGTTCTGGCCCACCCAGAGAGTAACACAGCGCAGCCAAAATAAATCGACTCTTGAAGTGGGAAGGCGCTAGAAGTTGAGTAGGATCTGGGAGTCCAAAAATACCTCCTTTCAACGGCCGACGGGTATTCCCAGACATTCCCAGACGGCGCCGACGCGAAAATGACGTTACAAGAACGAGGGAGACAACGGACGACGAACGACGGAAGACGGACGACGGACGATGGACGACGACGACGACGACGACGACGACGACGATGGAAGGCCGACAACGAGCGCAAACACAAACGTGACGTCGACGACGACCACGAGACCCGGCGGGGGGACCTCGGGGGGGCGACGACGAGAACGAGAACGAGGAAGACGACGGACGACGAACGACGGAAGACGGACGACGGACGATCGACGACGACGACGACGACGATGGAAGGCCGACGACAACGAGCGCAAACACAAACGTGACGTCGACGACGACCACGAGACCCGGCGGGGGGACCTCGGGGGGGCGACGACGAGGCCGAGAGGGAGCGCGGCCGCTGGGCCCTGGGCTCTCAGGGACGGCATCGCGGCGGCGCGGCGGGGAGCGCGCGCGCCGGTATGGAAGAGAAAAGGTCGTGTGCTCGAGGGACAGCGGGCTCCGGCAGCGCGCGTCGTCGACGCCGCCGCCGCCGCCGCCGTGTCGTCGTCATCGTCGTCGTCGTCGTCGTCGCCGTCGTCGTCGTCATCGTCGTCGTCGTCGTCGTCCCCTTCAAAGTCGGCGGCACCTGTCGAACGGCCTTCGCAACAAAAGGTCGTCTGCTCGATGCAAAAAAAAAAACAAGCTCTGGCAGCGCGCGGCATCTCTCGTGGTCGCCTCGGCGCACGTGGGAGTATCTCGACACCTCGTACGTTCTCGGCACGCATTGCCCCGTCCAAGGTTCGAGCGCCCTGCGCAAGGCCTACGCGGTAGGGTCCCAAGAGTTCCAGTGTCTTGCAATCGACACGCATCGCTCATCTTCCATATATGTCTGTGTCTAAGAGACACAAGTTCGGTCCTGGCCACTACCGTCGAACCGAGTGGTTGGATGAGAACTCAGAGGGCCCCCACTGGGATCTTTCCAGGTCCAGACGCCACACATGCCCCCTCGGGATCTCACTGGCAACGGGGCAATAACAAACTCAACTGATGGTTGGCGTCAGGATATGGCGACAACTGAAGTGCCGAGGAGGGGCGTGGCAGTTTCGGGCGCCAGAGAGCGAGCGTCCATCGCGAGCATCTCGAGCCGCACGACCAACGTCCCCGAACAGAGCAAGCCCAGCCATCTGAAACGCTCTCATAACCCGAGGAAGTCTTTAGTTTAGGGTCCCACCTGCTGTTTCCTTCGGCGGGAAATTAATTCCGCCCCTCCTCCTCCCCGCGTAGTCGTAGCCGTAGCCGTAGTCGCATCGTGGTCGTAGTCATATTCGTAGTCGTAGTCGTCGTCGTCGTCGTCGTCGTCGTTGCGCGACGGGTGCCGCGGAGAAATATTCATTTTCCACGATTGGTGGGACCCCAGTCCGTCAAGAAGCTCGCCGACAAGATAAGCAGTTTCCAGCTATGGAGGAGAGGTCGAAAGACCTATCAGGGTGATGGAGAACCTGGCATACCTATGCGACCTCTCCCGGCAACCCAGGCGCTTGGGCCCGGGCAGGGGTCAGGAGAGGGATGTAGAGGGACGCGGCGGCTTCTGCCACGCCTGGCGGGTGGCATGCGGGTCGCTGTCGGCCGCGCAGAGGCCTCAAGATGGCACAATTCACGAATGGCGAAAGTATCCGTATCCGCGCCCTTGCGGTGTGGATCCTGGGGCACGATCCCGCGGATGTGCGGTCGCGCGGATACGCTCCGCGCGAGGCAGTCGCGGACAGACGCCCCGTATCCAGTGGGTCGCGGCCCATGAGGCCCGGCCCGCGAGGCCACAGACACGGCTACATGTTTCGCCCGCGACCAGCGTAGACCCAGACAGCTTCCAGTAGGACTCAAGTTGGCCCCAGGAGAGGCCCTAGGATGACCCCAAGAGGACACGATGTAGCTCCAGGATAGCTCGGATGTGGTCTTGGAGCCTCCTCCGGAGGAATCCAAATGTGGAAATCATCCAGACGGAATGCATCCAACGATCTGATCCTTCTCGCCTTTCGAACCTCAGGTGGGTCTCTCAAGGCATCCGAGGCCTCCAGATGGCCCCTTGTCTGGGAGGATCTCACCAGGGCCCCAATAGCCCAAGGCCCCAAGCGCCCCACCAAATGGGGCACCAAGAGAGCCGCATGATTGCGGGCCCTGACGTGGCCCGAATAACCCCCCGTACGCCCCAGGAGGGGACCACAACAGCCCCAAGAGAGCCCCGACAGGCCCAAACAGACCTCACGAGGGCCCTAAGGAAGCCCCCAGGAAGAAACGAAGAGCGCTCCTATGAGGTCAGACATAAGTGTGTCGTACTTCTGTCCAGTAGCACTGCGCTCAGACGAGCAGTTCAAACCGCTGTGGTCGTGGAAATGCCTCTGCTGCCCCTGCCTCAGACGAGCCTGCCCGAAGACCTCGCCATGACAGTGCTTGAGCGTCTCGCCATCTTGCTCACTGCCGTCGCTGCTGCGTCTGCTACTGATGCCAGTGCTGCCCCTGGCGAGGTCAGCAGTGAACTATGTTCTGTCAGTCGTCAGTGGAAAGAGGATGAGTAGAACAGACGGTCACACTTCGCTTCGAACCAATTACTGGAATCAAATTTCATATGATCGCAACTGGTGGCGAGACCGGCGAGACAGCCTCCATACTACACTAGGAATAGATGTAGTCATATACATCTATCAAGATGCAGAGAGAGGGAAGTACGAGGACATATGACATGTGGAGAATGAGCCACGAGGGACAGGGAGACTGAGTAATGTCTGCCTTCCTCGCTTCCACTTTTCCATCTCGCTCGCACCCACTGCACAACTTTTAAGGTGCCCTGACACACACACAAATACATACACACAGATAACAGGATTCCCCATATGTTCCAATATTCTCAGGGTTTCTGTCTCCCCCCCCACTTCCAATAGTTTCCCATATTTTCTGGGGACTCGACGATTCAATTGCGTCTTTGTGTTCCTTTCCCTCCTGCAACTTCACTGCCCCTTCCACGCTTTCACCTCCTGTCGCCCCCTCCCTCGGCGGACACCTCCGCTCCCGCGCTCCCTCCGCCTGCTGAGACTCCCGCTCCTCCCCCTGCCCGCCTTCCTGCGCCTCCCGCCTCCATCCCACATCCTCCCTCCTGCCCAGGGCTGAACCTAAACGGTGTTGCTCGTTTTCGTTTTGTTGTCGTTTTCCCTCGTTTTATCTTCGCAACACGAAGTCGAAACGAAAACGGCCCACGAAAACGCCTAAACACCGTTTAGGTCCAGCCCTGCTCCTGCCAGCTGGCCAATGCCGCAAATCCTGAACCCGAACATGTCGGCGCCTCCGCCGGCGCCACTGTGAGCGCATCAGCCCTGCTGGCCCACTGCGGCTCTCGCACTAGAGCGGGGTGAGGGATATGCTGAGCCGTTGCTGACCCCCCACCGGGAGCCATCTCCAGAAACGTCTGCTTGTAGAGAAAGAGAATGAGAGAGAGATACACAAACTGATAAAAGAGAGAGATAGAGAGACATCTATATATAATATTACAAGAGAGAGAGAGAGAGGAAAAAAAAGAAATAGAGAGATAGAGAGACAGAGGAACTCAACCTCCATCCTGAAGGGGAACGTTCGGATAGGGGGGGCTGGCTCGGCGGGGGAGAACATCGACCTGGAATCTGCGATGCATCGTCGCAAGATCGGCGATGAGCCCCCCGCATTCACATTCGCACAGTCCTGGGCAGGGTGGGCTATCGGGCCCCTCTCGGCGATGACTGGGCGATTAGGGGTCGATGCGTCCCCCCCTGAGCCTATCCCTCCCTAGCGTTGCCCCCGAACGCTTCGTTTCGTTAGGCTACCATCCACCCTGCCAAAAACTGACAGAGCGTGCGACAGCACCGGGTGAGCAATACATCGTCTAAATGCAGACGAAGCGGCGCAGGAGGTGCGAAGAGAGATAGAACAAGTGGAGAAGCCCGCGAGATAGGGTATGAGATCTGTAGGCGTCGGCACGGCAATCCCCTTCCACTCTACACACTTTCTCCTCCTCCTCCTCCTCCTCCTCCTCCTCCCCCTCCTCCTCCTCCTCCTCCTCCTCCTCCTCCTCCTCCTCCTCCTCCACCTCCTGTGGCTACCCCTCCACGCCTGCCCCGTTCTCCTTCTCCTCCTCCTCCTGCGCTCAGCGCTTCTCCCCGCACTTCTCCTCCTGCCCCTCTCCCTCCTGCTCGTCGTCCTGCTCCTCCCCCTCCCCCTCCTCCTTTTCCTCCTCCTCCTCCTCCTCCTCATCATCATCACCATCATCAGCAGCAGCATCATCATCACCATCATCATCGCCATCATCGTCCTCCTCATCATCGCCATCATCACCAGCAACACCACCATCACCATCACCATCACCATAATCGCCATCATCACCAGCATCATACCATCATCACCACTATCGCCACCATCATCACCATCATCACCATTACCATCACCATCACCATCATCGGCATCACCATCAGCATCTTCATCACCATCATCATCACCAGCATCATCGTCATCATCACCATCACCATCGTCCTCATCGTCAGCACCATCATCACCATCATCATCAGCAGCCGCATCAACATCGTCATCATCAGCAACATCATCATCATCACCATCCTCCTCCTCATCATCGCCATGCTCCTTCTGCCCCTCTTCCTCGCCGCTTGAGCCCCTCCCCGCTCCCCCCCCTCCTCCAACTCCTCCTCCAACTCCTCCTCCTCCTCCTCCTCCTCCTCCTCCTCCTCCTCCTCCTCCCTCCGCTCGTGCGGCTCCTCCCTCTCCTGCCCCTCCTCCGCCTCCCCTTCGCGCTGCCGTCCCCTCCTGCCTCTGCCCCTCCCCCCCTGCCCTTTCCGCCCACACCAACCCCCCCCGTTGGGGGCGCCCCTCTCCGGCCGCGGCCCGCGGCCGCTCCCCCTCGGCCCGTCGGCCCGGCTCCTCGCGGCTCCGCTGGAGGATGCTGGAGACGTCGGACAGCTTGGCCCACCCCTGCCCGTAGATCTGGCGGCGGCGCTTCGGCGAGGGGGCACCCCTCAGCTGCCCGCCGCACGGCGCTCCTTCCCCTCCGCATGCTGAGGACGAGGAGGAGGAGGAGGAGGAGGAGCAGAAGGAGGAGGAGGGCGAGGAGGTTATCGGGGGTGGAGGAGGAGGGAAGCAGGAGGAGGAGAATGATGATGAGGAGGAGGAGGAGGAGGAGGAGAAGACGGAGGAGGAGGAAGAGGAGGAGGAGGAGGAGGAGGAGGAGGAGAAAAAGGAGTGGGAGGAGGGGGAGGAGGACGAGGAGGAGGAGGAGGAGGAGGAGGTGGACCAGTGTAAACCCAAGACTCATCAACGATGCTGGGATCCATCCTCCAACGATGCTGGGATCCATCCTCCTTCGAAGCTCCCTCTTCATAGACCCCAGCAAGGGTCCATTCCTAGTCAGGGAAGTGCCCCGTTGGGAGACAACCGTTGGAAGGTCCTGAAGCGTGCCAAAACAAATGAGACGCCACGGGTCAACTTGACTGTTGCGTCTTGGCGATCCCGAGTCGTGCCAGGACACCATTCTTGGGATTTCAACACCGCGAATCAACATAAATGTTGCGCCCTGACAATCCTGAATCATTCCCAAAACACCATTTCTGGTACGTGAGCCCCCCATTTTGCGAAAATCCCTCGAATTGTTTAAGACGAACGTGCGCGGCGATAGAGCGAGAGTCAACATTCTGAAAGCGGCCTGCCCTCCATCTGTGAAACTGTTGCCACTTGTTACGCGTCCAGATTACAAACGGTGAGGAACTCTCCGGCGAAACGCCTGCCCCGCCCTTCCGACTGGCCTCGGGGTGCGACAGCGAGGAGGAGGACGACGAGGAGGAGGAGGAGGAGGAGGAGGAGGAAGAGGAGGAGGAGGAAGAGGAGGAGGAGCAGGAGGAGGGGGGTATCGGCGGTGAACATAGCAACCCGTTCAGTAGAAAATCCTCGAGTGAAGATTGCCCACGACCAAACCTGGCGGGAGCAGACGCGCAACAATTGCGGCCGCAACGCCCTCTCGGAGGGCAATTCGCCACTCGATCTCCGACAGTTTACATCAACCTCAGGGAGGAGGCTGGCGGGTTGCATCAATCTTCGAGAGGATGGAGGCGGAGCAGGACCGAGGATCAGATGGAGGGTGGAACCACTTCAGCTTCAAGTCCTTCATATCCCAGCCTCTGAGACAAGGGGACGGCCTTCCCGTCCAATCTTTCTTGGCCATCAACTGGCAGACCGACCGCGTCGGAAGGCTGGCAGCCATGAACATCCTGGCTCGAGGCGCGCGGAAACCGCGAACCTCTTGCGGTCTCCAGGGACCTTGGTGACCAGGCCGTCAAACTTACAGCGGCCGCTGTCGCGCAGAGTGCGTGCAGAGGATGAGCAGACCTAACAGCGGGCTGGTGGCATCGGTTGGGGCCCACGGGGTCCAGAGAAGAACCAAGAACTACAAAACGTGAACCGTCGAGACTCCGCGCGGACTTCCTGGGTCGGTGGTGCTCACCCCTCCGGCGGCGCCTCCAGCGGCGGAGGGGTGAACACCACCGACTCAACAAAAAGTCCGAGCACGTCCGAACAAGAACACGTCCACACACGTCCGAGCAAGCACCCTTGACATTTTGACCTCGAAGAGGAGGAGGAGGAGGAGGAGGAGGAGGAGGAGGAGGAGGAGGAGGAGGAGGAGAAAAAGAAGAGGAGAAGGAGGAGGAGGAGGAGAAGGAATGGAGGAGGAGGAGGAGGAGGAGGAGGAGGAGGGGGGAATGGGAAAGGGGGCCTGGGAGAGTCCGCGAAGCACCCCCCCCCCGAGCCCCTCGTCTCCCATGCCCGCGTGGGCCCACGTCGGCGTCCCAAAGATGGGGCCCCGAGGGCTGGGGCCTATAAGCACGAGGGGCCTCGAACAGTGCGAATTCGCCCTGGCATCCCTCCCCGTCTCTACAGAAGGGGCGTTGACCTAAGGAACCCTAAATAAGGAACGAGGCCTCTTTTTCCCATAAGTTTAACTTCGATGTCCCATCGAAACCCTAAGCAAAACCAAAGGCGAACTGCAAAACAACTAAGGAACACCGAGCCCCTCCCCAACGAAAAGGGTTCCTTCCTCAGTGCCCCGACTGTAGGGCACCATCCCTCGCGGCCCCGTCTTTGCGCCGCCGGCCACGGGAGTGCCCGCAGAACCACGGGAGGGCAGCAGGGCTCCGAGAGGCCCCCGAGCAGCGCAGCGCCCCCGCGTCTCCCGGGGAGGGAGCCCGACCTTGCTGACCCGAGGCCCGGCGGATGTGAGAGCGAACCCGGGCGGCGCCTCTGCGCAGCTGCCCCGCGGGACCCGGATCGGAGGGAGAGCGGATCGGATCGCCAACGGAGCTCTCCGAATCGGGCACGGGTCGGATCGTCGCGGTAGGCTCCGGCTGGCCTCTTCCGATGTTCGCGAGTCGAGCCGGGTGGAATCAGACTCGCGGCCTCGGCTGGCGAATCGAATCGGACCGAAGGCGGCCCTGCCAGGCACACCGGGGGAACGAAAACAATCTCAATGACACACCGCCGCGGGAAACACATCAGCGTGTCACTGCTGAGGGGGCACCACTGTTTCGGGCAAGATTTTTGCCCCGTGAATCAATGCCCCAACCTGCACAACGGAAAATGGCAGTCAAGATAGCCCAGATCTGGAAAGTGAAACGGCCAGGACTCACATTTCGATGCGAACGATGCGACTATAATCTGGATCAGAAGCGACCTAGAAAATATTGGCGTGGATCCCACAGAGTGAATGGGATCCGATTGGTCCGATCTCAGGGCCGTACCGTATGGGGCCCTGTTGTGCGGGACCCTATCGTGAGGGATTGTGTCGTCGGGGGCCTTATCGTGGGGGACGAAACCATGTGGGACTCTATTTTATGAGACCCCATCGTCGGAGGCCTATCCTGTACGACCCCCTCATGCTGGACCCTACTCTGGGTGGGATATTAATCGAGGGGTGGGCGACTAACCTTCTGACGGAGCTTGCCCATCCCCCCCCCGCCTCCTCCTCCTCCTCCTCCTCCTCCTCCTCCTCCTCCTCCTCCGTCGTGTGGGCTCATATCGTTTGGGGAAAGAGGAACGACATAAGTATAGGAACTCGGAGGTCTGCGCGGATGTCTCGGATCGGCGCTGGGCCCCCTGGCGGCGCCTCCGGCGCCGCCCCTGGCGCGCTCGGAGGGGGTTCCAGCGCCGATCTGAGGACTCCGCGCGGAACTCCGAATTTTTATGTTTATGTCATTGCTCATTTCCCCAATCGTGTGAGACCCACCGTGTGAAATCCGTTGGTTAGGACCCTATCGTGTGGGAACCTACGCCTTCGTGGTCTGTGATACTGTCATATGGGGCCCGCTTGTGTGTGAGATCCTAACGACCATGACCCAGGAGAAGGTCCCACGATAGGGTCACCGCGAGAACAGGGCGATATCATCACAGAGGACGTACAACAAGTACGCCGTTCATGGAGCAATACATCATACCCAAAGCCAGAACGAACAAGCGAAACCACTGCTTGGGGAATGTGCAACATCGTTACTACGAGTGGCGCTGACGAACGGACGACGACCATCCTGCAGCAGATGATACATCGCACACATGCCGAAGACCGGAATGGCTGCTTCAGCAGATCTTGCAGAACAAGTCGCCGACGACGCCACGCTCTGAGCCAACGTTCACCACGGTCATCCAACACACACCGCGGTTAACCTCCTGGTGGGCTGGCACACGTCGTCTAAACTTCGCCTGTCGGGCCAGCACGCAGTCGGACACCAACCACACGTCTATCGTGAAGCAGATTCGGCTACACGCAAGAGTGACCCTGGGTAAGAGTGACCTTCGGTGCGCGGCTTTTTGGGGGCCGCGGGAAGACCAAACCTGGGTGCGCAAGCCGCTGTTGCCGCTTCGCTTTCAGCCATCTGGGGGCCCATCTGTGCCCGCACCAAAGGTCACTCCGGCGAAAGGTCACTCTTACGTCTAGTCGACAGACGAGTGAGTGAGCAGTCGATGGCCTGGCGCATGTAAACCATCGGTGATGTGCGTGCGCGCTGCGTTGCCAAAGGGTGCGCCGCACGTGGCCACGACTGGGCGAGAAGGCAGGCGGGAGGGAACGCCACCTGCAGGCCCTGCCGGCCAGCGCACTTCTCGTACCTTGCAGGGGGCGCGAGAGGGTCACCCCCGCAGGGGGAGGAGGAGGATGAGGATGAGGATGAGGAGGAGGAGGAGGAGGAGGAGGAGGAGGAGGAGGAGGAGGAGGAGGGGGAGGAGGAGGAGGAGGAGGGGGAGGAGGAGAAGAGGGAGGAGGAGGAAAAGGGGAGGAGGAGGAGGAGGAGGAGGAAGAGGAGGAGGAGAAGGAGGAAAAGGAGGGTCGCTATTGGGGGACCTGCTTAGGTGGGGAACGCATCGGCCTGGACTCGGCGATACATCGCCGACAGATCGGCGATAGCACCCCAACAGCGAATCCACACGCTCCTGGGCGGGGTGGGCTATCAGGCCCCTGTCGGCGATCAATGGGCCATGCATCCCCAGCTGAGCCTATCTCCTGCTAACGCTGCCCCTGCTCTACTGTGGGGACGAGCCCGCAAGAAACCCTTGCAAGAAACCCGGGCCTGAAACCCAAGAGACCCTGGGCGCAACATTCTTGTCAACGATCGGGGTCGGCTCACGGCACATCGCCGGCACCGCAAAAGCCCAAGGCGCACTGACGAAAAGCATCCGCTTGCTTGCTGCGCGCACCCCCCCTCGCACATCCTGCTGGCCCTCCTCTCTTCTTGCAGGGGCCCTGGGACACGCACACAAACAGACACAGATCACAGGATCCCCCATATTTTTCCATACTTTCTGGGTTTTTGTCTCCCCCATCTTTTCCCATAGTTTCCCCATATTTTCCCTACTCTTCCCCATATGTTCCCCATATTTTTCCCATCAGGATTCCCTATATTTTCCCTATATTTTCCCATACTTTCTGGGGAATCGACGACGACTTGTGCCTGTCGGCTTTTTCCCCTTCTGGCAGGCAGGCGCGCTCCGCCGCCGAGGCCCCCCCCAACGAGCCAGCCCCCCCAAAGGGGACCGGCGCCGCGTGGGCGCTTTGGGCGCGCGTGCGCCCCGCCGCCGACCAGCAACAGCGAAGGGGCCCTGGGACACGCAAGTAAATACAGGGCAGTTTCTGATACATAGGATGTTTAAGAATATACGATTTTAAATACATGATTAATTTATGAATGAATTTATGCATGAACTCATCGTTGTTTTTAATACTAAATCCCTGCATGTCTAATACATGATCCGCACGCGGAGCATGTATGAAAAACGGCACTGTACACACAAATAACAGGATTCCCGGTATTTCTACATACTTTCTCGGTTTTGTCTACCCCCCCCCTCCACACTTCCCATATATTTTCCCCTGCTTTCTCTGGGGCGTCGACGAGGAGCAGTGTCTGTATATTCTTCCCCCTCCAACCCCTTCTGGCAGGCAGGCGCGCTCCGCCGCCGAGGCCCTCCCCCCAACGAGCCAGCCCCCCAAAGGGGACCGGCGCCGCGTGGGCGCTTTTGGCGCGCGTGCGCCCCGCCGCCGACCAGCAACAGCGAAGGGGCCCTGGGACACACAAATAAATACACACACAGATAACAGGATCCCCGATATTTCCCCTATACTTTCTCGGGTGTCTGCCCTCACTCTTTCTGGGGAGTCGACGATGACCATTAGGTCGGGCCTGTCTCTCTACATGGGGATTTTGTGCGAAAAACTTGAAGATACTCCAAAAGCTGCTCCCCAAATGCTCAAAGATTGTAGAAAAAGCCGCCCCCGGACTATTTTGTTGATCATGTTTGAGCGTCCCTCCTGTAGAAGGAAAGGCCCGACTTCAGGCCAGCACGGGGTGCCACCGCCCTGGCCCAGGCACCTTCTCTCTCTCTGGTTGGGCAGAGGCCTTCCGGGTGGGAGAGGAGTCGACGGGGCCTCGGAGGATCGCGCCGTGTCGCCGGTGCATCGGCCACACATCGCCGATGCATGGGCGATGCATGGGCGATGTCGGCGATGCGTCGCCGACGCCAGCTTCGAGAACATCGGGCACCACATCGAGCCGCATCGCCGATGCATTGACGATGCGGCGCGATCCTCCGACCCCATCTACTCCGACCCCATCCAGGAGGCCTAGATTGAGGGAGCAGATGGGAGCGGGCACCGCGATGGAACCTACAGCTATCTCTCGGCATGCCGCACGACAGGAGCACACGTTGCTCACCTGGAGGGCACACGTGGGGTGAAGAACCCTGGGGCCGCGCTGGCCCAGGCCTTCGGGGCGCCCAATCTCGTTGGAGGCGGCCGGGGGGTCTGAGCCGGACGGGCCCCGAGAAAGTCTGTCAAGACGGGGGGATTAGGGCAAATCCGCTCCAAATCGGTCCTCGGATCCCTCCCGGTGTCCATCTGGTGCAATCTTCCAGCCCAGATCCGTTTTGAAAGGTCCCGGGTCCCGAAAACTGCCCCCAGCAGACCGAAAAAGGCAATCAACATCTTCGAACCCAGAGCCTTGATCATCGCCCACCCTTCCTGCTCGCCAGAATTAGTGCTGCGGCACCTCAGACCTCCAGCCGGCTCCAAGCCTGTTACCTCGCCCCACCTCCCCTCGTCATCCCTCTCCTCGTCCCACCAAGATAAGACGAGGATGGTGCCATGATAGGGTTGGCTGAAGAGAGATGTTCCATGATTCCCAGGATGTCTAGCGGCCCTTGTTTCTGCGGGCCGTGTGGAACGCTGCGGATTCTAGAAACTCTTGTACACCAGAGAGGGCTTAGAACGCATCACATTCATCAGCATCATCATCATCATCATCATCATCATCATCATCATCCTCACCATCACCATCACCATCACCATCATCATCATCATCATCATCATCATCATCATCATCATCATCGTCATCATAAGCGTCATCATCATCATCATCACCATCACCACCATCATCATCGTCGTCATCGTCGCCACCACCATCATGATCATTACCCTCACCTTCATCCTGAACTTCCTCCTCCTCCTCCTCCTCCTCCTACTCTTTCTCATCATCAGCATTATCATCTTCACCATCATCATCATCACCAGCATCATCAACATCATTTTCGTCATCGTCGTCACCATCATCATAATCATTACCCTCATCCTCAATATCAGATTCGTCCTCCTCCTCTTCCTCCTCCCCTTGCTCATCATCATCCCATCATCATCATCATCATCATCAAATGTATCGTCGTGATCGTCGTCACCATCATCATGATCATTACCCTCATCCTCCCCTCCTCCTCCTCCTCCTCCTATTCCTCCTCCTCCTCTTTCGCATCATCATCATCATCACCAGCATCATCATCATCATTTTCAGCATCATCATCATCGCCATCACCATCACCATCATCATCGCCATCATCATCGTCAGCATCATCATCATCATCATCACTCCCTCTTGCCCCCTGACGAAACGGCTGGAAACACACACGTGGTCGGACCGCGCGCGCCAGCCGTTTGCGTGCTGAGGGCCAGCGGGGGCCGGCCACGGAGGGGCGGAGCGCTGGAGAGACAGCTGGCCTTAGGTCGGGCCTCTCCCCCTACAGGGGGATTTTATATGTATATGTATATATATGTATGTATAACAACAACAACAAGTACTCCGACGGAAGGACCCCGCATGATAATCCTCTGGGCGAATCTGGAAAAAACCCTCACCGTCGTCCTCGTGGTTGGTGAGGCGTCCTGGCTATCTCTTCTGCGAATATTTGTCCTCGCCCTGGCGCGGGCCCTCCCCCCGCTCCCTACGTTGCCCCCGACCTCGCCCTCCTGTTTTTTTTCGCGCCCCGCCACCTCCTCGCTTTTCCATTGCATGAGCGCGCATGTCGGTTTTCCTCGGCGCCGTCGCCGCCTCGGCCAGCACAGGCGCGTTCTCTAATGGCCACGTCGCGCAGCCGTTGGGACAACCCCGCGGGCCAGGCTGTCGGGACGACCCCGCGAGCCGCTTGCGCGCAAGACCAAGCCGTTGGGACAACCCCGCGGGCTTCGAGCGGGGCGCAGCCGCGCTCAGGCGGGCAGCACGAAGCCCAGCTCTGCCGCGAGCTGCTTCGCCTCCGCCCTGGACAAAACCGCTCTCTTGTCGAACTCCAGGAGCGCCTTCCGCAGGGACGCCAGCGGCCCTCGCTCCAGGAACTCCCGCGGCGGCGGCCGCAGGATCAGCATGTTCCGCATGCACGTGGCGCGGGATAGCATGACGTAGAGGTGCAGCCACCACTGCTCGTCCGACATGCCCGTGCGGCCAGCGTCCTCGTCTCTCGCGCAGTCGATGGTGACGCCCTTGCGCAGCGTCTGGCCCTGCGACAGCGTGGAGGTCAGGTAGGACGCGTGCGTCGGGGTGAACCCCAAGCGGCGCACGCTGTGCGCCCCCGAGCTCTGCCATGTGAACTCCCTTTCGCTAGGCCTGAACATCAGCAAGCTCCGCGCACAAGGGTGCGTCCCAGTGGATACGTGCCGAACACGACCCAGAGGAAACGCACAGGGTGCGTCCCAGTGGATACGTGCGGGGGCACGACCCAAAGGAAGCGCTCAAGGGTGCGTCCCAGTGGATCCGTGCCGGGAATACCGCTCTGGGAACACGACGAACACAAAATGGCCTACAGTTGGCTCTGGATATTCAGAATGTGGCCCAGGAGTGGTTTTCTGGGAACACGAAGAACACGAAGTGGCCTACAGTTGGCTCCGGTCATTCAAAATGTGGCCCAATAGTGGTGTTCTGGGAACACGAAGAACGCGAAGTGGCCTACAGATGGTTCCGAGCATTCAAAATGTGGCCTGGGAGTGGCGTTCTGGCAGCGCGAGGTCCCAAAAGTGGCGACGGTTACAGGAATTGGATGACCCGCTCGGATTAGTAACATGATCCGCGGGCCCCATAGGGAGGGGGCTCCCGCTTGAGACTTCCTCGGGTTAGTAACCTGATCCGCGGGCCCCATAGGGAGGGGGCTCTGTGGCCTGGGAATGGCGTTCTGGCAGCGCGAGAGACCAAAAATGGCGACGGTTACAGGAATTGGATGACCCGCTCGGATTAGTAACATGATCCGCGGGCCCCATAGGGAGGGGGCTCCCGCTTGAGACTTCCTCGGGTTAGTAACCTGATCCGCGGGCCCCATAGGGAGGGGGCTCCCGCTTGAGACTTCCTCGCAATTCATTCACAGACGAGGCCCAAGGCGAGTGAGTGAGTGAGTGAGTGAGTGACTGACTGGTGATGATGATGATCATCACACTCTCTCACGCGCACACTCATCATCATCATCATCATCATCATCATCATCATCATCATCATCATCATCATCATCATCATCATCATCAACATCATCATCATCATCATATGTGAGTTCATGAGCGTGTGAGTGAGTGAGTGCTGATGAGTCAGTGAGTGAGTGAGTGAGTGAGTGAGTGAGTGAGTGAGTGAGTGAGTGAGTGAGTTAGTGAGTGAGTGAGTGAGTGAGTGAGCGCACGAAGACAGAAGAGGAGAGGGGGTGAGGTGAGGAGGTTCCTGCGCGGGGTGTCCAGAGAAAACAAGAACCCCACTTTGGATGTGGGGAAATACTCCCAAAGTGTGCAACAATATTCAAAAAATCGTCCCCGGACTATTGTTTGACTATTTTTGGATCTCCCTCCTGTAGAGGGCCAGGCCCGACTTAAAGCTGGCCACGTGCAAATATTGGGCGTGGCGCACTTGGGGGGTGCGATAACCCAGACCCCCTCGAGATATGAAACAAAAAACGCGGCGGCAAATGTTTCGCCAGTTTCGGCCTCTGAGAACCCTTGCTGGCCCTTGGGACCGTCAGAAAATGGCTCAGGAGGAAAGCCAGTCCCAGAGAAAGGGTCCAGACCTCTGGGGGTCGCGTCATGAAGAACTCATGACGTCGGGGGTCTGGGAACTGGGGGAGGTGAGAAACGTGCACCTTTAGAGGCCTCCTAGATGGGGTCGGAGTAGATGGGGTCGGAGGATCGCGAAGCATCGCCGATGCATCACCGATACATTGACGATGCATCGACGATGCATCGGCGACATCGGCGATGCGTCGGAGACGCTGGCGTTTAGAACATCGGGATCCACATCGAGCCGCATCGCCGATGCATCGGCGATGCGGAGCGATCCGCCGACCCCATCTGCTCCGACCCCATCTGGAAGGCCCAGAACGTTTGGTGCTCCATTGGGCCCAACAGGGGCCCATTTAGGGCACAGGAGGTGCACCTCTCTTCACCTAACCGTGTAGCGCCCCCCAATGCGCAAAGCCCGAGTATCCAGCTCTCGCCCGAGCCAGCCGCGCCATGTGAGCGACGAGCTGCAACCCAAAACATGCTCGCGCCCTGAACAAAATCAGGGCAACATGGGAGGCTCTTACTCAGCCCCGGAAAGAAGATTGGGACTTACTGGAAGCCCGCATTGGACAACAATCAAGACATCGCACGTTTGGGGAGAAAGGGGTCGTACCCATGATGCCATGTCGACCTCACGCCGTGGTTTACGCGGGCCGCAAGAGTGGAACGCTACAGTGCTCATGCGCGACATTAGGCGGGCAGCACCTGCATGTAATGCCGGCGCAAGCGACTTCGTTTTCTTCTGTGGCTCATGTGGTGGCTTCTGGTACCCTGGATAAAAAAAAAAAACATGATTACCCCTGAGGATGCAACTTTTTAGGGAAACGAGCTCGATACACCGACGCTTTTCCCCACCCTGCGCTGAAATTCTCACAGGAACGCGGATTCTGGTGTATACGGGACCCTGGTGTATACATTTTCCGTTGTTTCCCTTGGACAAAGGGCGAAAAGTACACACCACACCACCCCGACGTCGTCCCTGACCCTTTAAAAGTCGTGGGATTGAAAAACGACCCGCCACTGGTAATGTAAATTTGGACGCAAGAAGTGGGTACGGAAAGAATGGGTACAATGCCCAAACAAATGTTGTCCCAAACCAACAGCGGCCGCTGTTGGGCAGGCGGCCCTCTGTCTCGGATGGACACAGGCCGCGGCGGCGTGGACAGCGAATCGTGCTCAAAATGAACAGGTACTGCTGTTGGGCATTGTGCCCATTCTTTCCGTGCCCACTTCGGGCGTCCAGACCCTTTAAAGGTCGTGGGATTGAAGAAGTCGTGCCCTTAAGTCGTGGGATTGAAAAGGTCGTGGGATTGAAAAGCAACTCGCCACCGGCAATGCGTATGTTCCAGTTTGCGACTCTTCTTTCCGCCAACTTCCGCCAGCGGACCCGCCCCCCGCCGGCTTGCGCCGACCCTCCGCCAACCCTCCGCCGAAGAAGAGCGAGGCCCACCCTCGAGCCCTCGAGGACTAGGCCTGTGCTGCAACGCGCCCTGCGTCTTCCCGGCCTCCTCCTCCTCCTCCCCCCCCTCCTCCTCCTCCTCCTCCTCCTCCTCCTCCTCCTCCTCCTCCTCCTCCTCGTCCTCCTCGTCCTCCTCTTACTTCTCCTCCTCCTCCTCCTCCTCCTCCTCCTCATCTCCTTCCCCCTCCCCCCCGTCGCCTGGGCCCCGAGGCGCCTCAGCAGGGTGGACATCTCCCTGCTCAGCGGGCTGTCCGTGCGCCGGCGCCTGCCCCGGTCCCACGAGCTCTGCGGCGCCTGGGCGAGAGAGGCGGCAGGAGCGAGAGAGAGGCGAGAGGGAGAGAGAGAGAGGGAGAGAGGGAGTGAGGGAGTGAGGGAGCGAGAGGGAGAGAGAGAGGGAGTGAGGGAGCGAGAGGGAGGAGTGAGAGGGAGCGAGAGGGAGTGAGGGAGGCGAGAGGGAGGGGGAGAGAGAGGGGCGCAGAAGGGGGCACGGCTCGCCCGTCCCACCTGGACATCGCCCTTTTTGTGGCACCAGCCTGTGGTGTGCCCGGCCCATCCGGCAGCAACGGATCCCCGAGCAGCTGGCCACAGTCGATGTGGACGACGGCATGGCAGGGGCCGACGCTTGACGTGAGAGCAACATGGGAGGCTCGTGCGTCGCGGGACTCACGGAACAGCGATAAGTGGCGAGGGCAGGATGGCCGGATGCACCCGTGCTTCCACAGAGGCTTCAGCTTCACACGTCGCAGCCCCCAAGTGATGGCGAGGTCTACGCTGAGCCCGCGTGGGGCGTCACTGCGGTGGCCCCCCAGCAACCCTCGAACATGACGCCAGTTTCACACTTCGCAGCACCCCAAGGATGGCGAGGTCTCATCTGAGTCCGCGTGGGGCGTCACTCTGCTGCCCCTCCTGGCAGCCCTCAAAGATGGCGACAGTTTCACGCTTCGCAGCCCCCCCAGTGATGGCGAGATCTAATCTGAATCAACGTGGAACATCACTGTAATAATTGCCCCCCCTCCCCCCCCCCTCCCAGCAGCCCTCGAAAGTAGCGACGATTTCACACTTCGTAGAAACCCAGGGATGGAGGGACGGTGAGGCCTAATCAGGACCTGCGTGGGGCGTCTTTGTGCTGGCGCTCCAGCAGCCCTCAAACATTGCGGCAATTTCGCACTTCGCACCCCCCGCGCATGACAAGGTAGGCGGCACAGGGGAGGTAGGCAGAAAGTAAGCGACAGGAGGCAGGTGAAGATAAGAGTAGGAGAACGGAAGACGAGGGGGAGGAAGAAGGGAGGAGGAAGAGGAAGGCTGGAGACCACACTGCTCTATTCTAAACAAAAATGCAACGGAGGCTTGTGAAAATTAGCGACAGACAAATTTTGCTCATTGTCGGCCTCTGCTGGCCACCACTGGGCCCCGGGACCGTAACAACAAACATCGCAGGATGAAAAACCGGTTCTGGGCAAGGGGCCCAAAACCACAGGCGGACCCCGTTGTGACGAAACGCACGACGCCGAATCATATCAACTGTATGTGGTCATCTTGCGACCATGGGCAGGAAAGGACAAGACCTGCAAATGAACGCCGTCGAGGGCGCTGCAGGCAGGCGCCGTGGCGCACTTGCGTGAAACACGAAGCAACGCAATGGACAAAGTCAAACCTCTCATTAGCGACAAATGAATTTATATTCGAGCGGCTCCCACGCATCAGACCTGGCAACATCGACCCAATCACCCTCACCGAGCAGTGGCTCGCAATTAACGAACACCTCTCTTCGATCGTCGGACCATCGCTTCCTTGAGTGGCCCGCGCGTCTGCGAGCATCGCAGCAGGGACCTTCCACCATATTCCAAACTAGTGCCTGCACAGTCCAGCTGCCTTTGCCCAAATTCAGAAATTTTGTGAGCCCACTCCCACTTCCGTTGTCTCTGAATCGATACCAAGCCCTTGATATGCAACTTCATGAGAATGCCTTCCGCTCCCTGGCCTGCTCTCTGGATCCAGTCTGTCCAAGATTCCAGGCCGTCGTTGTTGTCATTGTCGTATGGTGTTTGGCCATCGATGTTCACGTCGTCGGTTGTGGTGCTGTCTGAAGCGCGAACTGTCCTCGGTGGCTCATCCGAAATGTCTTCTACCATATTCTGGCAGCGGGGCGTCTGGAAAATCATGCGCAACATTTGTAGTTGTACCCTGCGTGGTCTGTTTTGAATGCTGGCTGTCATCGTCCACGCATCGCATCTGCATAATGCGAGTGCAGTGGAACAGCCGGATCCTGCTGTTCAAAGAGTAGTGCTTCAAAGGAACGCGGTGCGCAAAAAACGTTCCCCAACCAACACATTTCTGCTTGAGGGTCGCTGAATTGAAGGTTCCGTCCGGAATATTTGGTTGTTTTGTAAGATGGCAGAACCTCATTCGATATGCCACTTGCCGAAACATTGCTGGGTAGTTTCTGTTCGCGTGGCCTCCAATGCCCATTGTGCAGAATCTTTGTATCGTCTGGATGAAACAGTCGCCCCGTTGTGGCAGCTTCCTGGCCGAGGCACGAAATTCCGAAATCATGCGTGTAGTGTGGTTGAGCGGCCCTGCAAGTAGTATGCTGTCGTCCGCAAAGCGGAGGCAGGTGGGCCGATCAGAATCTGGCTGGAGCGAAACGCCCATGCGTTTAGATATCCATGTCTGCTTTAAATCGCGCATGCTGTTATCATGATGTTCAAACACAGCCTTCTGCAGCCTCACGGGCCGCAAGCCTCTACCTGAGGGCGTCGAACCCTGGGTGGTGATCACTGCAAGGGGGGTCCTTGCCCAAACTGCTCGAGGAAAACCATGCGCCGGGCAAACTTCTGATCTTGTAGCAACCTGTCGCGGCCCGCTTAGCTTAAAATGTAAATCGCAACCCTAGGTTTCGCGCAATTCGACTGTGGGTCAAAACCTCGAGGCATTCGACCGAGGCGGCACTGCGAGGCCGAGGAAGGAACGCCGCCCCGCACGTCTTTTCCAGCTGTCGGCGGAGGCGGTCCATGCTGCAAGCGCCACACCTCCGACAATGCACGACACAAGGGCCGCCGGCGATGCGACAGCACGCGAACGCGCGGCCGTGCAGATGGCCAGTAAATAGGGAGAGGCCGAGAAGCAAACGAACTTGAGCCGCTTCCCTGGGCGCCTTGACATGCCAAGCTTAGCAGCACAAGCGTTAAAGCTCTGGCATGGCAGCCGCGGCAAGTGAAAGTCCTTGGGGCCCCAAGGATCACCGCTCGCGCATGCCACCTACCGCGCCAACACGTCGCGGGAGCGGGGCCCTCGATTTTTCTCGGGGAGCTGCAGAGGAGATGGAAGCGGGGGAACACCGCCCATCACGGGGAAACTGGGGCCATGCCGCTCAAGGCCAATCACGCCTCCCAAATTCCGGGCTCCTCTCGAGGGCGCATCTGCCAAGTTTCGTTGGCGAGGCATTCTGCTAAACAATGGCTCGACCAACTCTCGTATCCTCTGGACAAGCACCAGTCCATCACCTACATACTTCGGCGCGCCGGCGCGCGGGTAGCAGCGCCAACAAACTTCGCACCTTCGAGCTGCCAGAAACCCTGGCTGACACCTGCCGGGAAGGCGGTTGGTTATGCAATCCAACACGGCCCAGACCGTCGGAGAAAGCATCCTCCTCCTGCCGAAGCAAGGAGCTTCTGCTAACGATGGCCAGATGCTCGGCAGCCTGAAGGGTACGCGGCAAGCTCGGCCAGACTGGGCCACGGAACATTGCAACTAGCACGTCGGTACCCTCGGCCAAACAAAAATTCCCGCTTTGGCCGCCCTCGCATGCTCGGCGATCGGGGGTCTCGCGCATGACCCGTCGACGACGGCGTCGCAATCTTGACCAGGGATCGCAAGATCGTCGTGGACCTGGCCCTGGGGATCTGAAGCCTGAGGTACAATAAGTCAGTCGGCGGCTGGAACGCCGATGCAAGATGAGGGAGGATGTGGCGGGTACAGAAAAGGTGTTTCGAGCCTGCCTGCGCTGCCTCTTGAATCAGATGACCGTCTGGAGCTTCTTCTCGTGCAGCTTTGACATCAGGGTGCGCGCGCAGATGGTGTCTGTGCTGTAGGCTGTCCCTAGCCCTCACGCGGGGCACGGGAGGTCGGAAGCGCGCCCTGCATCCGACGGGCTGTCGCTTGTGAAGTCAACCTGGCAATGGCAACTCGCAACTGCAGGCTTCTGCCTCGGCGCGTACTTCGTAGGCGCGCGAACCACTCTACGCGCTATGTCAACGCGCGAGCGCACCATGAAAACCAAGCACATCAGAGGCCATGGTGGGCTCATGCCTAAGCTGAACCGCATGATCTTCAAACAAAGCGCTTGATGAGGGTGGGGGCCGGCGCAACAGAGAAGGCCCCGCGACGCGAGCATCCATCCAAATCGAAACAATCTCCGCTTCCCACGCGATGCGTGCACCCGGTCCCTTAGCATGCCTCCAAGAACGGTGCGCCTGCCACTTGTCTCGCGCGACCTGAAGCACATTCGCGCGACCGCGCGCTGGAAAAACGGAGCGCTATGGCGCGACCGCTGCCTGCCAGACTGCCATTGCCCACTGGCAAGCTGGAGCCACGCGCGCGTCTGACATCGCATCGCCATAAGGCGCGCGTTTCGCGCTCAGGGGCGTGCTGCGGTGCGTCGGGAATTAAAACATTGAGCAGCGTGGCGGGAGCTCTCGTCATCTCGCAGTCGCTCATCCCCAGGACAGAGCTGCCGCCCGACAATGCGGGCATGATCCCTGCAACATGTATAATGGCCACCCGGGGCTTGCCATTTACAACCTATCGCTGAAATCGTCGCACTCGCATACTTCGAAATCGCATCTGCCGAAAAATGATCCCGACGTTGACGAAGAGCCCCCTTGCCAGACCTCGACTGCGCCAATGGTCGCTGCTGCTTCTGCCCAGGCCGTCCGGGGCCGCGCGCGTGACTCCGCATTCTACCTGCCCCGAACTCTGAAGGAAGAAAACTTATCCGTTGCCTGGCAAACGCCGCGACTCGGGGCGGTCTGCGCGCGCGACCCCAAACGCGGACAATGCCCCCCAGCTGGCAAATCATTTTTCTATAAGAAAGCATCCACATGCATAGCCGCGGAAATAGCTCCAGATGATCGACCGTCTCACGCAACGCACTGGGCGGGGAAATGCCTGCGCCCCCGAGCAAGCGCGCGCGCCCGGGTCGGAATCCGTCGGGCGCGGGGGCGGCGCGCTGTCCGAGCTCTCGCGAGGCGCTGCGGATCTGCTAAGTCGCAGCACGGAGGAAGCCCTGGCGATCA